AAGCATACAAAATTTTCAAGAAAAAAGGCGACAAAATGCCGAAATCGAAAAGATAGCAGCTAATTTTGTTATATTAGTTTTCAAAAAGGTCTAATGCGCCGATAGCGACCAATAAAATCTCAATATCGATTTCATACTTGGGTATGTTCCCTCGTCAGTGAAAATTGCAATTTTCACCTTAAAGCATTATCACTAGCAGTGAATCACTACTATGCATTGTACATGGACGTAACAGTCAGATTTATGAATAAAATAAGATTTTGTCTTCTACCAAAATAACCCTAGTTTAACTTTCCGAAGTCTGTAAGAATCGACTGGCTATCGATGCTACCAATTTGTCTGTATACTCGGGAAAGTCCAGCAAAATCATTAGACTATGCTTTATCATTTAGACCACGGAAAGATATAAAATTTCAAAGTTAAGCCGTTCCAAAATTTTGGATGGGACTTTTACCATTTAGTACCTTGCAACGAGTAACTAAGGTAAGTTTATATTCTTCTAGTGTCATGTGTTCACTTTAATTAAGTTTTCATCAAGTTAACTTAAAAAATTACCATTTACAGTAAAACCTCTCAAAGGTTGTGAGAAATTGAACTCACACATCTAGCGGATTTGATGTTTAACCCGGCTTAAGAGTAAGTTTTTAATAAATGAATGCTTAGTCCGATGGGATTCCTCTAAATGGCTGGACCGCTCACAACCTTTGAGAGGTTTTACTGCAGTTCACTTTGTGACTACCGAGTTCGTCTTGAATCAATTACTCTCTTCAATTTGCTCTAATTATTAGCATTGTTTATAACTGGCGTTTCTGCCATTTTACGCCTTCATGCAGGCATAACTCACGAACGGTTTGTGCTCATACTTTATGAGCTTCAGCAGATTGAAAAACCGTAAGTTCGAAAACTTAAGGTCAATCCATTATTTGATTCATTGAAAGGTCACTTTCTGATCTTGTTAAAAATTTTCAAGATCGGTCAGTATTTGTTAGATATTAACATGTGCGTGCGACTAACATCACCGATTTAAAAATTTTGTACTATTAGAAAGTTAACTTGCAATGCCAATTAGAGGTCTGATAACCGATTGACCTTGGTTGGCCTTGAGAATTCGAAGTGCTCTTCATGTGGGTAAAAATGGTCCACCAGCTCAAAGATTATGTAACAAAGATCCATTTACCCTTCGTTCAGCAGTTTATTTGAAAAAATTATTTCCTGATTCAAAGTTTATTTTCATAATTCATTACGGCAGAGCTGTAGTTCATTCCAGCATTCCTCGTGATTCTGTCCTTAATTATGAAAAACTAATTGACAAACCTGGTGGCATATCGCTTTTCAAATCGTAAAGATCTACTGATCAATTTAGTGAACCGATAAATTTTGAAGCCTCGAGCAAATGGGTTGGCTATATACCGACGGATGTTGTCCGTGATATGCCTCAGTTGCACCAATGTTATCTGTTTTGGGTTATGATTCAGCAGCTTATCCAACCGTTCATGCTTTTGATCTACAGTCTATCAAGAATTTTGTCAAATGAAGAATTCTCGGATGAATTCTCCACAAAAAAAATTTAGTAACCTGTTTTTCGCTTCTTTTGTGTAATTGCTGTATGAAGGATTAAACTGCAAAGTAAATACACAATAAAGTACAAGGCTATTCAGCCTTATTTACTGTACGTTTCATTCAATTTCTTAAGAACTAAACATGATAGGGTATTTATATTTGAACGTTATGCTTTTGAGAATTGAAGAACAATTTTTCTGAAGTTTCAAGTTCATTCAAGGTCATTCGTTTATTTGACCTCTAAACGACTTGTGAAGGTTATTTGCAAATAGCAAACATTTTGCAATGCATTTCTTTAATGCAAAAACTAGGCTTTAAAACGACTATGTTTGAGATTGATTTGTTGATTGTCATAAGATACGATTAATAGCTAGCATGTCAAAATTTCTTTTCGCGACTGTATAGTCACTATTGACTTTGAAACCTAATACATACAAGACAATCATAGATTTAAAAAAAGATCAACTTGGTAATGGCTTATGAAAATGGTGAAAACTCGGTTGTCTGGTTAAGTGATTAATTACTCGGCGGCTTCTCGATATTCGTCTTCGCTCATGTAACTTTTGATAATCAATTTTATTTTGCCTTTTTGTTTTTTTTGCCACACAAACTTCGATTAATCATTAGTTTGACTAAACAATATTTTGAATGCCATTGTAATATTGTATTGCAATTTATTCATTGTTTTTCAATCTGACACTAGTATCTTCCTGCATTGATTGAGATTTCAGGCTATTTAGGTTATACGGTCTACATAAACTGATGTAACAGGCACAATGACAATCAGTGACTTCGCAGTATCTCTGACTTTCCTGCAATTAAAGCATTCATTTCATAAACGCTGAAGTTGCTACTTTCGTTGACTTTTCGTTTCTCTCGCAGCATTTGCCTTCAGTATGAATGACAACAACAATTAAACTAATTATTCAGTTTTTGAAATGAGAAGTGCGAAGGAAAAAGCATGTAAATTAATGGATGAACTGAGTATGTTTGAAAAGCTGAATAACATTTGAACTTACAATTTAATTTGATGGGTTGTCAACTGAGAAACAAACTCGAATGATGATAATTAATTGTTGAGGGAGAAAAGGAAGAAAAACAATGATAATTTTAACAATGATTAATGTTTTGCTAATGGACTTGAAGGCTTGATAAAAGTAAAATGAATTGGTAAAAAAAGAGTGGAAAAATTGAGATTTTTTCAAAATTCATTGGAAATGTGTTGCACCGGATTCAATAATCAACGTTTTTGTGACTTACTTGATCTATTATTTTTGGGTTAATAGAAACGGGACAGAAATAGATCGCTAGATTTATCACAATTGTGTACAATTAAATATCAATACAAAGCCAAGAGTCAGAATTGTGGATGACAAGAGATTGAGTTGGTGAAAAGAGTAATTTACATACAAATTTTAAAGGCAGTGATTAATAATACTTTGTCATGATTAGTATTATTTATACAGATAAACATTGACAATGATTGACACACAAAAAAAGATTGTTAAAGATACAACAAAGGTAATAACGGAATGAACATTAACAATTTTGAATGTCAAAATGATTGTCAATTTTGTAAATGTTCAACTGGGTTTTTATATTTAGATATATAAATAATAGTACAATATAATAAAAGTAGTGATGAATATAATCATTATTAAATTCATTGTTCATTCCTTTCTTGCTCCATTTACCATCAATCTTGTAGGTTATTCAGATTCTGGTTGCTCTCTGTGTTTTCCAGTATAATATATAACATAAATACATCTTACATGTTTATCGTTATAAATAATGTGATTCAATTCAATCTTAACCATCTCTGAATATTGAAAGACATAATCAGCTTAACAAACATCTCAATCTTCCTTATAATCATCATTATCAACCTTTCAGACCTAATGATGAACCATTTATTTCACTGCTCTCCTTTCACCCTGTGTGAACCTTATTTTTTAATGCAAGCTTTTGGCTTTTGTTATCAGCTTTTGGAGTGTCCTCTTTGTGTCCTCTGATGAATTAAGTCAACAATTGAAATTACATTGTTACATAATCCATATTAAATATAGCTATTAACCATGCTTCAATCTGAAAGGCCTTTGGTTGTGGTCATCTCTATTTATGAGGTTGTCCAAAAATAAATTTGTGGCAGCAATGAAATGGGCAAAAATAGGTAAGACAGGAGTGAGTAGCTTTTGGCGATTTACATGGATATTTAATCCAATCACTTAATTTTCACTGGTTTGAAGTTCATCGATAAAAAGATAGGTAATCCAATAGACAAGGTTGAACAATGCGAACATCGTCGGGAAGAGGATTCGTGAGAGAACGTCAATTCGCTTGGATCGAGTTGGAAATTTTCTCAACCATTTTAACCATACTGTTAAATCATCACTGGGATCGTCTTCAGTTTCATCGGATTGATTAAAATTTCCCCTTCTACCTGGACAAACTTTCCTTTTGGTTGGTTTCTGGATGAGCGATAAAGAAATGAAATTAATTAATCAATTGAATGGTAAATTGAATGTTGGCAGGAAAAATAATGTAAGGTTTTCATGATAATCAAATGAAAGTCAGTCTTCACAAAAGCTAATTGCTGTGATTAACCTTTCTAAGTTGTATTTTCACTGTTACTATTGTTGTTGTACTTTTTATGAGTACATCTATGTGTGTAACCCAACAGCTGACTTCAATTAAATCTAATTTGGCAGTTTGATTGTTATGTGTTGGTTGTGATAAAAGTTGGTTATTGTTAACAAATATATTGTATCAATCACTTGACAATAGAAAAGAGTTAACAGTTGAAAGATGAAGATGAAAAAGCAAGAAACTGTATTGAATAAAGTTGCTCATGTTGAAGCTAAATGTCAATATTCATTTGATGTTTACCCTTCTCGACCTTTCTTCTGTATTATTATGTGTTTAATGTAACAGTCGACGAATATCAACATTTTCATGATAGATTTCCTGAGTTACATTGAACATAAAGACCACCTTTTATGAAGCTCACAATAAAAACACAAGGAAAGTTAATGAACAGATGAAGAGGATAAGAGGTGAAGTGCTCGAAAAAAAAGATAGAAATTATAATTAGAAAAGGAAAAATGCCTGTTGATTTGTGATGATAGTTTGGTTGGAAATGATAAAGATGAGTGTTTTTCTGGGTTTCCAGTTGATATTAGAGTTTTTTAATCATCTGAATTAATAAAAAAGTTGCTATTTCAGATGGAATAGTCCTAAAAAAAGATTTAAGGGTTTATTGTATTAATAGGAGTGATCGTGAGAAAATGGAAAGCAACTTTCAGGAGCAAGATAAAAAAGATGTTGATGATAATGATGAAGGAGTGAAGATATTTAGTATTTCGACGAACCTTTTTCATCTTCATTCTTATCGTCCTCAGCCTCATCAGTTAAACCCTATACTTGAAAGCAGAATAAGTGGTTTATAATCGATAAACAGAGTCATTTTGAGTAACCCTAAAATAGAAATACTATTGGAAATACTTTTTCTCTTGTTCCTCTTCCTGTGAAATGATTAGTAGGTTGATTGTTACTATCACTTTGTTATTACAAATTCAATTTTCACAGACAATCCCTGAGATCAACTGATTCTCTGAAATTTCTTAAAAGAGCAAAAGAAATGGAAAAGATTTCATAATATTCCTTTTGATGAGAAATTATCATCACTTTATCTAGTTCAGTTCAGTTTGTTTTTCATTTTTTTTCACTTGACTTGTTGAATAAAAGTCAATTTAGTTAAATTTGTGATGAAAAAAGAGAATAAAATGAAACATTTTCCATTCAGTCTTTTTCAATACTAAAAAGAATCTGATAAATACATAAATATTCAAATTTGCAAGAATATTTTGTGTAATCTCAATGAATAACATTTTCTACTAACGAGTAAGTTTGTTTCAAGATAATACTCATAATACTTGACTGTCAAATGATAATGATGAAAATGACTGTTGAAGGGAAAGGCCTGATTACCATTCCAAAAAGCATGTTGGCCTCGCAATTGCCTAATGGATCACGAATACTTATAGGCATCTTAGGTGGGTTTAGAAGTAAATTCTTGGGCATTTTGGTGAAAGATGATGATAAGGCTCCTGATGATGTTGACGATGACGTTGTTGTAGGAATCGGGATTGAATTTGCTGGAATTGCAGTATTAGCTGAGGTTACACTTGATTGAGAATCACATCGAGAAACATAATTAACCAAAGCGAATTCCAGCAAAGCTCCAAAAACAAAAGTTAAACAGCATTCCGTCCAAACATCGACTGCTTTAATGTAACTAACTGGTGGCAAGGAAGCATTAATTCCTGAAATTTGAGTTGCCATAGTGAGTAACGTGGTTACACCTAATGAAACTCTAGCTGGAATAGCATTTGGATCCAACCAGAATGAAACCCACGAAACGATGACCAACATTATACAAGGAATGTAGATGTGGATCAAATAGTAACTGAATTCCCTTTTGAAGATAAGGTTTACTTTGATACAACTGTATGACCCTAAACAGGAGAGAATGTAAATTAATTTCAAATCAGCAAAAATTTTTAACGTTAAATCTAATCATCTACATTCCACATTCGTATTGACTATCATTGATACCATAATAAGCTAATAAACTTATTTACCATGCTATGCAAGTCAACATGTAAATGTTATAATGAAAAAATTGCAACCTTGTTAACTTAAAAAGGTTAACAGTTGCAATTGTTGTGAGATGTTAATAATTGACAAACTTACCTGTGTTTGTTGCGCTTGTACAATACTGTGTTTGAAATCTTTGTAGTGTAAATCTTGGAAGGTGTAAATTTTTGGTTACTTGAACAGGATCACCCTCCTTCCATTGAAATATTAAATCTTCCGTTGTATATCCATCTAAATGAGCAATTGAAAGATAAATTAGCAACATTACAGTTGATAATACTGTGGCATTAGTTCCAATAGCTGAATCCAAGTTAAAATTATTGTCAATGACAATTGTATTTAGAAAGTCGGTGTAACAGTAAAAGTTATGTTTTGAAATGCAAGGTTTCAAAAAGCTAAATGAACGAAAGTAACTAAAGTGCTATTCTTACTCATAATGCGTAAGAATAGCCAACATTATGACAAAATTTTAATATCGATTTTGATTCGAAGTTAATTAATTTAATTTTTATCTTTAAATTATTAGTTGAAAACATCTAAGACTCGAAAATAAATCATATATGCAATATTTGTAATTAATTACAATGTAATTAAAATCAATTTGCTAGAGATATGTCAAGTTTTAATTATACCGCTATCTTCGTTACCCCGACAACCCTTTTTTAGAGAAACAATTAACGTGAATCGATTGTTATTTTGAACAATGTTTGATTTTTGATAAACTCAAATCTTTATTTTTAATTAATGTTAGTAATACTGTTTTCTGGTAATTGTTCAGCAATTCGCTCATTAAGTAGCCTAGTTTTTATGGTTGATTTGTTTCTTGTACGATTTGAACCTTAAACCTCTTAAATTAGTGTACAAAACTAGTGACATTCAATTGGACATTGATTTCTTCTCACTGGAGATTAAAGATTGATTCAGAATCAAATATCAAACAGCTATGCTCGTTCTCATCTTTAAATTATTTCTATGTCACAATTAACCTCTTACAAGACTTGTTAGAAGATTCTTTGTTTGATGTTCTTGCTTAAGGTAAGGAAAAAACTAGAGGTAGGATTTACTCTATCTTTTGTATAGCAAACTGAGTAACTTTTACTAACTGCTATTGATATTTTATTCACATTCAGGTTACTTGGAATGCCGATATCAAAACTCGAAGAAGGTTTCATCTTTACTTATCAATCTCATATTTCATAGATAATTGGTACCGATTTTCAAACAAAAGTAAGTTTAATTTAATCACTGCAGACTGAAAAAGATCTATCCTTTCATGTGGTACTGTATTTTCAATCATTAGTCCGCCTGATTTTTGTTCAATTCCAACAAGTTGTCATATCAATTCAATTTAAAAATTCAAAATTTTCAGATCAATGTGACTAAAAAAAATATGAGATCTACTACCAGTTGAATCAAACAACACTTTTATCTGGTTATTTCATCAATCGATATTAAAAAAGCTAGACAATATAAGCTAAACCCGGGAAACAGTGGATGAAATGAATAAACTGTGAAACAAGTGGCTTTTCAACTTACATGATGCCATTGAGATGGTACAAGTTTGAAGATCAAGTGGATAATACTTTAAATCCATAGGACAGGCAAGGACTAATGAAATTCTTATGGAATAAAGAACTTCTCCATTTGGATAGATTCTCAATAATACATTAGGCATAATAATGTCATGAAAGTGTCCTTCCTTTTCGTTTCGGAAAAAAAGATCTGGTTTCCAGATGCGATTTGGATCCGTTAAAGTTAAATATCTAATTTGACCGACCATATCATTATAAGCCAATCTATCATCTCGCCATTGTTCACGAAAAGTTATCTGAGCTGAGTATTCCTGAGAAAATCCAAAAGGATGGAAAGAACCAAAGAAAGAGGAAAAGTCAATTGATTAATGAAAAATTGAACGATACCTACAATAAAGCCAGGGAATGATCAAGATAACTTGTACTTGTTTGATTGAGAACTGATGTTAAACAGTAGAATCAAGCAAAGAAATTTATCGATTCCTCTGTGTTTGATAAAGTTAACATTTCCCTTTGTATTGTCAATTTGTCAATGCTAATATTTGAAATGCTTATATTGTGAAAATAAATTCAAATTTGTTCGTGAATCGCTCGAAATGACGTTGAAAAACGTAAAGAAGGAACCAAACCAATAGACGATAAAAGAAACAGATGAGATGAAAAGACAAAAATGAATCAAAAACTAGAGGAGTAATAGTTATTATCTGAATAGCTAATTAAATTCTTATGGGAATCGAGTTTCAGTACATTATGATATAATATGATTTATTACTTACCTTAGATTCATGAATAATATTTTATTTACTGATTAATTTCATTCAAGTTTCTCATTTGTATAAACAAGAGCATATAATGTCAAGCAAAAAAGCAAGAAATGATATAATTAAATTGTATTCTTATCTAATGTATGATGAGAAAGTACAAAAGGAAACATCAATTAATTTAACTGTTATCAGAGTATTTTGGATCAAATAACAATTATTTAAATGTTTAATCATAAAACTTGGAGATGATTTGTTTCACTCGATTCCGTAACAAGCAGAAATCAAACTCAGGATTTGCATTCAATTTTCATTGTCATACAATTTTGTCAACCTTTCACTTGATTGTAAACCTTATGTTGATCTCACGTTTTGGCAGTTCAATTTTTTGTGTCGTTTCTTTCAATTTCATGTAAACATTGAAAACATAATCATCATGTTTTGGGTTTGTTGACACAAAAAAGCCATAAAAAGGAACCAGAAAAGATGTTTAGTCTTATATTTAGATATTTAATATAAGGTTGCTTTAAATACTGACGTTTACTTGTTTACCAAACCAAATGAAACTGTTTTCAGCTAAATCAGCAAGAAAATTGTCTTAAAAATAAAAATCGATTTTCAAATTTCATTCCATTGTCTTTATTGATATAATCAATATCAACTTCAACAATCGGATTAACCTTAAATTGATTAGTTTATAACAACATTAATGTGAACATAATTGAATAAATGATAAATCTTTTGGATTGATTACAAAATTTCAATGGATTGGGTCAACAGCAAACTGAAATGGTCATTAGATTCAAGTAGTCAGACTTGATTGTCTAAATTAATAAATTAAATTAAATAATATAAATGCTAATTGAGTCAACTAAATTGTAACATTTCAAATTGATAATCTAATTAAAACATGTAACCCTTTTGATTCACAAATGCGCCATCAATAATATTCTGCTGTCAATGCAAATGGCAATGACGTTTCTGTCTAAATTCAAGTATCATATAAATCAAGGTTTGAATTACAATTATTTAAAAGAGCAAATTGAACAAAATTAGTTTGATTTACATTAAAATGGGTTCATTTTAGTTCATCTCTGACTGCAATGCATTTTTAATGCTCATATTAAGTTGAGGATGAGAAGGCAATGAGAAAAGTCTGTGAAATTAAGTCAATTTGTCATTAATGAATTATTAAATTGATGGAAATCAGGAAATGTGGTATTTCATAGAAACTTAATTGAGTGGCAACAATAAACCTTGTGAATTATTATAAGTTTGCACACTTTCAGTTTGTCAATTGAGTTCGTACAGTTTAAGTCGTTAATTACAGTAATCTCTTGAGATTTTTGGATTTTCGTTACATCCACCATCAAGATGAACTTAAGGGGAAAATGAGAAAATCAAAAACCTAAACACTTTAATAACTCCCTTGTAGCCTCTATGCTCTTCCACCCACAGGGGATCATCAAAGTGTTTTAACTGTTAGAACCCTAGAACATTTAGAACATTTTTATCGATTCAATCTGTCTACGGAAAAGTTTGGTTTGTCGATTGCATTTAAACTTGTAACGGCATTAAACAGCCAACAGTGAATAATTGATTCTCATATGCAACCTGTGCGGAAATATTTCTAAAGAGTAGACGCATTTGCACTTGACTAAAGCAAACAGTTGTAAACCTTTAGCTTAAACGCTAATCCAATTACTATTTTCAAAGATTTTTTTCTCAAAATCAGCCAGGGACTTTATGAAAATCTTGCAAGCATATTTAGAATTCAGGCAGAAAGCATCAGAACAAAAATTCAAACAGAATCATTCATCTTTTTGAATCCAAGATGAAGTATTGAAATCGCAAAAAATGGTCTTTTACATGTTGCTAATGATTGTCTTTATGATTTTAAGAAAGAAAGTAGTAACGGTCTTCAGTGAAGATGTAGCTCCTGTCATTGTGCTTAGAGTTAAATAAATTTCATAGTTCTCGCCACGAATCTGAATTTCAGTTATTTTTAAATTTCATAATGAATCACATCAATCGTGTTGGTTGACAGCTTATAGTATTTTGAAGTACTCACAGTTTAGTGAAACAGTTTTTAATCAAATTGTTTAATTAAATACTAACAGAGACTTAACAGACTTTTTAGCATCAAAGTTAAACATTAAGTTAAGTTGAAAATCAGTATGTGCAGATATGCGAACAAGTCTAAGAAATTAATTCAATTTGAAATATTCATAAACGAATTATTGAAATGATGCAAATCAAACCAATGATATGCCAATGCCAATACGTGTTTCAAAAAGCTAATCTTTGACTTTACTGAATAAAGTTGTAAAATGATTTGACTGTTAGATATTGAAATGAATTTCAACAGTGAAATGGTGAAAACAAAACAAGAAAAAAGATGAAGAATGAAAATGAAAAACTTTTGATAAATTTGAGCCTCAATTCAGCTGATATTTCATGGTTTCCTCGGTTGACAATGTGAACAATATTCAGCCAAAAAGCATTTTACTTTTTGTTCAACTTACTTTTCCCCTTGCTTCTCTGTACTTTTACTCACTTCCCTACCTTATCCCTAATTATCCAGGTACAGTCACCGGAGTCTAACAAAAATGTGAACTATTTTTTTCTTTACTCGAAAAAAAGGTTGATAAAAGCTTTTAACGATTACTTGTTACATCAAGAATAAATAAAAAAGCAGAAACTGTTTCAAGATGGAATTGAAAATCAAAAGTTGAATTGAAATGAAATTGAAACATTTTTCAGGTTCACCCAAAGCTGTGAAAATAATCAATTATTATTATCAAAAGCTGTCAATGGATCAACAGTTTAATTGTTGAGGTTAAGCTCAATGTTTTTTAGTTTTTGTTCAAACAAATACTGAATCTTTAATGTTCATCATTTCAAATGGAAATATTTTCAGGTCAAGTTTTTTTACCAAAAATTTAATGTTCTATTCTCATTAATTATTTTGACTGTTTCATTGCATTAACATTGCATCAAAATTGATAAATTTGATTGTTGAAAAGCAAAGTTTGAGTTTTCATCCGATGTTTCAATCTGAATCTCAAGTTAATGGTTCTGGTAAAAGGTTACGGATTTGAAGTAAAGCTATTAGATTAGTGAAAACACATTAGACGATAACTCATGGAATCAAATTGAATTTGAAATGCAAAATGACATCTTTCACTTCATCTTGTCTTTTAATATTACGGATCATTTTATTTACCTTTTTTTACGTTTACTAACCAAGTTTTTGGATATTTTTTCAGACTTTGTCTTTTGATGTGCATTTCAAGAGGCTGCTTTTACTGTCTAGTTTAATTTAACAGATGATAACATTTCCCAGTAATCAGTTTTTAACCTTAATTTTAAACTTTCCCATTTCAACATTTGTATCAGATAATGAAAATTGAAGGAAACAACAAGGAAAACAATGGAATGCTTTTCAACATTTGGGTCACTTTTTGTCACTTCTGTACTCGATTGCTCTACTTTCCAATCATTTCTTAATCAACATCAGGAAATAAACTTGAATTGAACAGAGAAAAGGATAACTTTGACATTTTCAATAACAGTTTCAGCTGTTAACCTTTTTCTCAGCTTCACTCCAACAGTTGTTCAAGAAATGAAGAAAAAGCTTAATGTAAATAACATTAAGAATTACTTATTATTACTGATGATTATTTCAATCATTTTATGGTCAATTTGTGTGGTCAAAATTGTACTTAACTTGGTTATATTTAAAGTGCTTTGTGTATGTCTGTTGTCTCATGATGAACAATTGATGCATTTTAAGGTGAAATGTTGAGTGTTTTGAGTTGACATTTTTCATGTCAAAGGGAATCTTATTTAGACTTTCTTGTCAACATTTCATGTAAAGTATCGAAAGTAGAAAATTATTGTTGTTACTAACCAATGTTGACACTTTGTATTCATTTGTATACATCAATGATAAACCTTTTCATTGTTTCCACAGGGTAAAATTAAAGGTCAATATGTGAAAAGGTAAAAATGTTGTCAAGTGAAAAAACATTTTAATACATTACATGACATTTAAATGTATAATCTCAGTACCTTTTCAAGTTGAACTTGAATGAAAACTGGGCGAAAAAATACACTGAATATCAATTGTAAATGCTTTTTCAAGTAGCAAAATATTATTCAAAGGGAAACTCGAGTTTTCTCAGATGTTTTTAACACCATTTCTCGGTGACTTTTGGACTATTTTTAATGAAATTCAAGTGCACAGTGTACTGAACACAAAGCTTCTGTTCAATTTCAAGTTTTAATCCAAATTTTATAATTGGTTGGATAAATAAATTCAAATAATAATTTTGAACAGTTTTTTTTAATTAAAAGTCGCGCTTTGCCAAATTATTCAAAAGGTTTGACTCTTTTTTATCGTCTGACTAATATTGGATAATACTTGGTTAACCAGGCTTTGTTTTTGTTTAAGTGATCAAATCTAATTTTTATTAGTAAATCTGAGTGTTTTTAATTCAATTTATCTTCTGAATAATGTCTACTTAACATGGAAGGGATTCATTCAACAAGTCTCTCATTTTAAATACAAGTGTTCAGGTTAAGCCCGCTGTTGAGTGAGAATTACTGTTTGTCTCTATTAAATGTATGGTGGGCATCATGTTAAAGTGGTTATTTTTGTGTTCTATTACAAATTAATCCTGTGGGATAATATTAATCATCTGACCCTTGGCTATGATTATATGTGATACAAAATTAACAACATGCTTTTGTTTAATTTTCAGGTCTCAATCAAACTGAAGGGTCAAATTATCTTTACGTGAACTGTACATGAAAAAGGGATCATCCATTGGACTTTAGAGTAATTAGAAATTGAACTTACCATATCGAGATCACTGATTTCACTGATGCTTCGTATTAGTATGTTGACATTAACATAACAAGGTCCATCTTGTCCAAAAATCGAGATGATAAGATAAAAAAGGTAAAGAAAAACAGAAACAAAACGATGAAATTTTTAATGCTTTTTTGTTTTTATTTTCAGAATCACATCTTCAATTTGATTGTAATAAACAGATGATGGAAATGGGTTTTCTCAAATTAGACATCATAATCGCCTGAAAATAACAGCCATTATCAACATGCTCATCCTGTAATAATGCAAATTTGATTGATTCATTCCATTATCATCAACTGTAATGATCAATTCTCAATACACTTTCATTATCTTGTTAAATTCATCATTTAATGGAGTACAAGTAGGAGAAGAAATACGTTTCTCACCAAGTCACGCAAAGTACAATCTGATATTGAGCTTGAAGCTGTTCAATATGCTTCTTAAAACATTGCTTTTCTCAAGTTTCTAAAGTACACTTCGCAAACTCTCTCAGCGCATAATTTGCATACATTGATCTAGAAATGAAAATTCATGGTTTAAATTATGACTATTTTAAGCAAAAACTCTTGTTTATTTGACAAATTGGATGAACTGTATTTTCGCTTTGATTGAAACTGCTGTGAACAAGACAATGCTTACCCTGTTGAGTTAACGAGTTATCATCAATTTTCTTTTCCTTTTCTAATAATAATTAGCTAAAAGGCGGAATCTCTATGAATAGATGTTTGAAGATTTCGTATCGTTTCTTTGGTAACGTTGCATTACAAGGATTATTGTATAAATATTGGACAATAGTACAGATGATTATGACATTATATGACATCATCTTTTGCTAGTTAAATATGATAAATATTGTTGCTGCCCAAGGCAATTTCATTCAAATATCTATTCACTTTTTTAAAGTATTATAACAGTTATTTTATCTGAATTCACTTTCCATTACTTATTTTTCAGTGCATAATGTCATACAGTTGAAGCAGTTTTTATAACGACTAGGAAAAAGACATTAAAGGAAGATACCTGAAAAAATAATGTGTTTGTTTTCCTAGTCAATTGACTATTTAGATTGATAAATGATGGTAACTCTGTTGACCAGTTTGACTTTTTCAAAACAGTAAGCTTTATACCTTTTCATTTGCAAATGAAAAGATCAAACTTGAAAGTCAATCCAATTGAATAAATCATTCACCTTTTACATTTTAGTTAACCCAATACAGTTTAAATCATTACTGATGTTTACTGCAATCAAAATAATGAACATTGATTAACTCACCTTTATCCGAAGTTGTATTACCTCTTGGCCTAATACGACTATCATAGTTACCATTTCCAATAGTTTGGTCCAAAATGCGTCTCTCGATAGTTCTTAAGCTCTCCAAACAGCTGAAGATCAAGATGACAGATGCCAATAAAGACAGAAGAGGAAATTAAGAGGAATCAATATCTTTTTATCATTTAAATTTCATTTTCAAGTGAGTTATAATGGGTTGAAAATGGGTAAACATTGAAAAATTAATGATCTTTCAGACATGAGCTTTTATTAATTGATCAAAGTGGTTGATCCAATTGATATTTTACCTCTAATCAGTGCTATCATAATCAATAATTAACTCTTACTTTTGTCTATCAATAATTTAAACTACAAAATGTTTACCTTATAACACATATTCAGTTGATAAACTCAACAGTTGAATAATGTAGATGTATGATGATATTGTATTACTCGAAACAAAACGCAATCTTTAAAACATGAACATAATGAAATGTTATTAGATTTGGAAACAAATAAAGAGGTTGTGATAAAATATATATTACAATAAATTTATGATTTAACTTAATGTTTCAATACTGAATCAATAATGACGATTACATGGAAACACGACACTGAAAACGGTTTCAATGGCCTTAATTTTTTTCCGCTCGTTTTATTTTACTTTGTCGCAATATTTGACAAGAAAAGTGTAAACAATCCAAATATTTACAATATTATTATTACAATTGAAAGTTATTATTATGTAATGTTACAATAACATGAAATACAATTTTCATCATTATTATTGTTTTCAGGGAATCCATTTGGTGAAAAAAAACTGGTTAAAAGGTATCAACTCTGAACAAGACAACCAACCTTAACCTTTACAGAAGCAAAACCATTTTCATTGTTTCACATTTGAATGATCAGTTTACCGGTTTTAACCTAAAATAGTAATGTTTAACCTTTCAAATGTGATTTATTTTTGGGTTGAAATTGAATTCAATTTTCTGATTAAATATCGCCGTTCTCTTATCACAATGATCGAATGATTGAATTTGTCTTGAAAATAATATAAAAATGTTGTCATTAAAATAACTTAATGAAAAAAATCAATGAAAATGATAATTGTCTTTTAGTTGTTTATTTTGGGTAAACTTGAACAGGTTTTCTGGTTCAATGGGTAAAACAAGCTTTCAATTATTGTTACCAAATGAAGCAAAAAATGGTTAAATCTTTTACCTTTTATTTAGGTGAGGGTTTGATGAGTTCAAACAATCAGTCAAAGAGAGTTGATTAAATTTACAAATGTGAACCACAAACAAGTGAATCAGTGTATTGCTTCAAATAAATGTCTTTAAATCTAGCAAAAAATTGCAACCAATATATTTGTTTTCAATGTATACTTACAGGGAATGAAAATTGTCTTAATTATTTTCATTGATAGATTAGAGAACAATCAGAAACTAATTAATATTGATAGTCATGAAACTATGCGATGAAGGAAAAAAGAGTGAAACAAAGCAAACAATAAAGTTGATTGTTACCAGGAAAATGAACTCAAATATTGATCCATTTTCATTATTGCTTTTCAATAAACTTGCTTAAAGCTGATAATAGTTAATCATCTTCAGATGATCAACTTAATTCTGAATCATCTCATTGCCTAAGATTTAACTTGTTGATTCATTACTGTCAACTTATCATGGAAACTTGAATATCATGATTATCCGTAATCATTATTGACTTTAAAGCATTTCTCATTGAAATGCATTCCCTTATCAACTCTTCATTGTTAGTGTTGATGGATAAATTAAACTGGATTGATTGATAGACAATAAAAAGAGTTTAATCAAATTTGATTCCTCAACAATTGGCAGGTTAAACAAAAGCTGACAATTTATGTTTCACTTTGCAATTTAATTACCATCAAAATGGCCTGAAATTAAATTCTTATCAGTTAATTTATCAGAAAGGGTCGATTGTCTCGCTGAATAGGGATTGTTAAGGCAAAGAATAATGAATAATTAGAAATAATTTAAATGTAACTTACAAGATTAACTTGAAACCGGTGAATATGAACAGAATGGGATAAAATGTTGAAACAAGGTTGATCCTTATTGGAACAGTTTCCATAGGAAATAACTTTGAAGCAATCAGATTAAATGAAATGTAGTTTAAAACAGAGAATCAGTAATAATATGAAAGAATCAGTTGATTGTGAAAATAATTTCATTGATGAAACTGACGAAACGATTTGCTTTACTTCAATTCATTTGCAATCCAAAGGGATGTCACAATATGTTAACAGGTTTATCCTGGCTTTTAGAAACTCAAATTCACCATTAATATATGATTGAAAGTTGATGTCTTTTCATGTGCAAATCTAATGGTTGCACTTGCAATGATTGCTGATTTGATTGGTTCAAATTAAACTCACAAATGTACAAAAACTTATTTCCCAGTATTTGAGTTGACAAATGTTCAAGCAGTGTGAATATCAAGAGATGAACTGAATAACTGTTGAATGAGACGCAGAAAAGGATAATGATGATGACTGGGAGTAACTACAGGGAATTGAGAGGAAACTTGTTTCAACTATCAAAGTAAATATGAAAATGGTTGTGATTCTGGGAAAGGAAGGCGACACAAGAAGGAGATTCACAATAATGATGAAAAGATGCGCACAGAAAAGAACAGAATCAACAGTGATTTATCAGATTCTTCATCTTCACCACTTTCATCTCAATCATCTTCAATCCCTTCTTCATCAACTTCACCATTTACGTTTCTCTATTTGGATTCAATTTTCCATTGTTTTATCGTTTATCAGCTTTACCAACCTTTTAATCGTAAGTCATTAATCAACTATTAAGGTTCATTAATGTTTCTCAGGTTAATCAATTTATTTTTCATCGCTGAGTTTCACTCCTTTAAGGCCTATTACGCCATTGAAACATCTCAATCTAATGTTGTCTTTTGACCATTTTTCCGATTCTATCGTTATTTTATTGTTAACCTGTAAATGTTGGATTGCGATTTGGTATTTTGAAGCACAATTTCACAATAATATTGTTGTAATCGGAATAAAGAGAAAATTGAATTGAATTTCAGGTTTAATTTAATGAATAAAACGCATTTGCTATTCACTTTTCCCTATTAATTTCATCTCGCCTTTGTTTGTGTTATATTTTATACTTTTAAGTTTTGTTATTACATTTTTATAAACATAATACATACAAAAGAAAGCCTTTTTTGTAACAATTTAAAGTAATTTGAGATTGACTAGTAAATTGTCTATCATTGGTGATGTGAATATAAAAATATGTGAAAAAATTTTCATCAAAATTCAATTGCATTGTTACTCGACAAAAACATTTGATAAGCTTGTACTGAATAGGCAATTTTGATGGTCTTTTGTGCTTTTTTCATCTTTACACTATTTCAACCCATTTCAACTGTTAATGTCAATATGTTATTTAATCAAGAAAATGTTTAATTTACGTTACATGGATTTCAACAATTGTGAAAAGCGAAACAATTAAACCATTAAAAAAGTGAAATGAAATTCAACATTTTTTGCTCGATGCTTTTGTTCACTTCAACAATACAATCCTCTGTATGTGTTAACCCATACCTTGAGTTTCATTTTAAATTGACAATCTTTCATAATTGTTACTTCATTTATTGTATTGTTATTGCATTATTATCAACCATTGACAGTTATTTTGAGCATTTACAATCTAGGGAAAGGTTAATCATTATTAGATCATTAGATGAGCCTGTGAATGAAACAAATACTGTAAAATGGGAAAAGGAAATGAGCTTGTATTATATTTTTAATAATTTGCCTTAGGTTGTATTTTGATTGTTACCTGTTTAGTAATAGGTATTTACAGGGCTTTTTACATTCTGTTGATTCATCAAATAGTTTCCTTCTCTTCCTATTAAAACCCTATTTACTTCCACTTGACTATTTAATTTACCTTTCAACCGGTTACAGTTTATAGTTGACTGAGTTAAAAACTATAATTGTTACCACACTTGATTGAACCAAGAAAATTGTTGTTTTCATCCAAAATCGTAATCTATTGATGATAACATGGTTACGATTCAATTATCATAAAGAATCAATGATTAATCCATAAATCTTGAGCCTACAAAATTGTTTCTTCATCTTAAATCTGTATTCACTTTGGTGCGAGGATTCATCGAAATGTACAAATTAGCTGTTATAAATCTTGAGCTTTAGCTAATTGTAATTTGACTATGCGACTAATAGAGACTGATTGTAACTTGATTTTAGTTTATTCGATAATTAATTGAAATAATAGACTAATTGCTTCAATCTTAGACAAACTTAATTTAGCAAGTTCGCCACTTGAAAAGTGCAACTTGAGCTTATCGAGATTATCAATATTCTGAGTTTGCTTGAGCTTATTTTATATTCAATTTATTTGATCGAATATTATTTGATGCAATTGTTTGGGTTAAAATAGCGATTGTTTTCATTATTAATTGAGCAAACAACAATCAAAGGAATAAGTTATTTGGTTTTTGTGATAAGTATTCAATTGTTGGTAGCAAAAGTGGAGTCAATGTGAGTTGAACTAAAACACATTGTGAACAATACAAAATGTTTGCTGTTGAACAATCTTGAAAACTCATTAAATTAATGGTTTATCATTATGATTACTAGTCAATCATCAAATCTTAAGATGGTGAAACATTTTATCTTTTTATATTGGAACGGAAAAGAAAGATTTATCCCAAAAATGATAACACATTAATGATAATATTAATGATAATGAGAGGAAGAAAGTTAATAGCAATAATCTATTTTCTTGATACACAACAATTTACCGATTTTCATCTTTATCACTATTAACCTTTACTTGAAATCTTTTTATTGGATCATGATGAAGAAGAGGATGATCATCATCATGAAATGCTTACCAATTTTACCTGATTCAAAGTAAACATTAAAGTAACAATTGAGACCAAAGAGTAAGGCTATTTACTTTTGATTGACTCACATTGTATTACACTTAACAATCAACATGTTTATTTGGACAAATCAGTGAAGTAACCTGGTAATGAACACCTTTTCATTTGTATTGTTATTAAACTTATAGCTGTTATTAGCTCGTTGGATTTAATCACTGGCTGCTATTCACTCTTAATAAATTTACTTGGCTTTAGAATCGCAAGGAAGCCAGAATTAATTTTTAGTCAAACTATTATATTAAAGAAATGAGTTAATTTCAGTCATTCATATTATAATCATGTCAGTTGGCAATTAGATATTAATGGTTAGTCCATATGAGTCCATTTTCTGGGGAAATGTTTTTTCTTTGTTAAGTGTTTCTGGATTCAATCCTTTGTGAACATTCACTCATTTGTTATTAGCTAAAGTCAAGCATTTTCGTATAACATTAGAAGGTTGATTTAATTAATTGTACATGAAGCATATCACATGTCAAGTTCAGGATTTTGTTCACAACCAGGTTGTTGAATGGTAATATTACCTGTTGGGCTGAAGCTCTAAGGCAAATCTAGACCTTAAAACAGTTGGCGATCAACGCATTAATGAAATAATTTGTTTGTCACAGGTTGATAACCGGATCAATATTCGTTTAGTGTGTTAAAGAAAAGAATCGTTCACTATTCCCTAATTATTCACTCGCTACTCATAAAATATAATCAAAATTAGTGCTGATCAATAGAAAGGCAAATAAACCAGAAAGCAGTTGTGAACGATGATTTTCAACCAAACCGCCAAAAACAAATCACATGTGGAGCTACATGCGCTTTTAACGATAAATGTTATTTTATAACAACAATGTTTTGATTTTGTATTACCAACCAGTCTTATTGTTAAATCTAAATGTCTTATAGATATTTTGTTAAATTGTCTTTAGTCCATAATTATAATTTTTTTTCAGCCAGTGGCTTACAAACTCGTTCTGTCCATTATTTATCTTTGAAATGTAATCCATCTACTGCTGGCGTTTTATCGGTTAGGAAACGACAAAGTGGAGCCGGTTGTATTCAACAATTAAATGGCTCACAATTAACTAACAGTTTGACTATTCGGCATGCTTCATTTGGCGAGCGATTAACAAGTATAAGTGAGTCCATTGCTTTATCATGGCCGGTGCAGAAGTGCACAGATTCTTTGATTTGGGTACATGAAGCTTCGGGTTTACCTTGGTGGCTCAGTATCATTGTTTCAACTGTTGTATTTCGATCTGCGATTGTTTTTCCGTTCATGTGTTATGATCGTCGGATTATGCATAAATTAATTAATGTTGGTCCCGAGATCACAAGCTATACTGATAAGGTAGCTGAAGAATTGAAAAAGCTGGTTCAAAATGGACAGCTAAAGAAGGAAAAGTTTCGAGCCACTCTTTTTAGAGCTTATAAAAAGAAATCGACGCAAATTTATTTAGATAATAACGTCCATCCGGGCCAAAGGGTGGTTTTAATTTTTTTTCAATTTCCCTTTTGGATAACTATGTCTTCATCGCTCAATAATCTTTGTGTTAGACCTTATTTTCTCAACGATCCTTTAGTTCATAATCAATTTTTCACTGGTGGAGCCGCTTGGTTCAAAGATTTAACGATTGCAGATCCTTATTATGTGATGCCAGTTTTATTTTTTGTGTCCATATTTTCAAGTATTAAGGTTAGTCTTTGAAAAACCACGCACAATATTTCGAAGTTTAACTTTGCACATTAAATTATCTTTCGAAATTCGAATTTATAACCAATTCTTCATTTCAGTTTACAGAGCTGATCAAAAATCAAAACAGACCTATGAATGTTACTGAAACTAAATTTGAAAGATATTTCATGTACTTCTTGAAAGGATGGCTTCTTGTGTTGCTTGGATTAAGCACAGTGACACCGTCAGTAAGTAGGAACAAGAACTGAGATTAACGTAATCTAATTATGTGATTCAAAACTTTCAGGGTTGTGTACTATACTGGGCCACTTCAGCTGCATGTGGGACTCTACATCACTACTTCTTGTCTTTTCCCAAATTTAGGAGAATATGTAGAATACCAGCGTTAAAAAATGATCCTAAACCCCTTGATTGGAAACGCTTGATAGCATCAATTGATAAATCAAAATGAAATATCTATTATAAATAAATTCAAGATGAAGTCACACGTTGTAAATACCAAGCGTAGTAAATTACTCGAATTAAAATATTTTAAATAAAAGAAATAGTAAATATATATTGACTGGGAAATCATTTCTTTAATGAATTGAACTTCATCCATCCATCAAAATAAACACAAAAAACATAGATGAGCTTAAGAAGACTTCAGAAGGCAACCATGAATGAAATGAGCCCATTTAAATATCACTATCAATACGAAATCACTGAAAAAGAAATGAAAAGAAATTAGATTCATAGATTCGATAATCATGAATAAGCACAAAGAATTATAACTTACTTTCTTAGATGCAGCTGAACCAACTTTAGCCTTTTTAGTACCCCTGACTTTCTTCATCTTGTTCTTTCTTTCTTTACGTTGTTTTCTTGGTTGTCTTTCAACCTTAGTTAAACCATTACGCTGTAATCGGTATTTGGGCTCGAATTTTTTAGCGTAATCTAATGTGTCATAAATAAGGGCAAATCCAGTTGTCCTGTCACCACCAAAGTGAGTTTTTAACCCAAAAGTGAAGATCAAGTCGGGTTGAGTTTTGTAAGTCTTCGCTAATCTATTACGAATTTCTTGTTTAGCGATGGTTGCTTTGCCAGGATGGATAACATCAACAACCTAAGGAAAGAAATTGCAGATCACAGACATGAGAAATGAACCACTACATATCACCGGCATAAAAAGTTGCACAAGATTGAAATCATAATCATACCATCTGACGTCGACAGAGAAGTCGATTGGTCTTGAATTTGCGAGTTCGCAATGTGTAACCTCCTTCGGATGACTAGAATAATAAAAAAAGAGATAAATCAATGAAAAATAAACCAAAAATTGCAAATGCAAGAAACGTGTTAAAGATGGATGGAGGAAAGCAACGGAAAGAAGTAATTCACCAAACATTAGATAAATTAACTACTGGATAGATTAAAATTTTACTTACCATTATTACAAATTAGAAATGTTAAGTTGAATAACAGATATTCACAAATTAAATTATACAATTTAGATTAATTGTTAAACATACTCTTAAACCAGAACCTGTAAAAAAGGTAAGCAAATTTTTGCCGGAAAAGGATATGACTTGCCACAGCATAAGTTGCTAGGGTAACAACAAAGCTCACTCTTGTATCCTGAACCGCGATTTTCAAGTTGCTAACTTTTCTTGATTGAAGTCAACACGCCATCTAACGGGTGAAGAAAATATGAATGTTTTTCGCATAAAAAGTAACCCCAACGATTCAATTTTTATTACATCAGATGGCGATATTTATGTTTAATTAACTAAAATTTTTACTTTTTCCAGCCATTGTTTTATTAATTTAAACTTTATTTAGCAACCGATCATTTAACTATTTACTATTCCTCAAATTTCTAGTGCGAAATTTCTCTAATTGTTTTTTCTTCTGCCCAGTTGAATGTGAAATTTAATTCAGTGAAGCTCTTGTTACGTGGTCCTTCATGTTGTGCCCTGCAGTAAGCTAAAAGTTTAACTATTTGTATTTACTCTTCTAGTAGTAATTTCCGTTGGAATCGTTGGTATCCTCCCGCCTGTGCCGAAGTACATTTAATACGATATAATCAAAAGAATATTTTGTTTTTAAAGAAATAATTGTTGGAGTTTTCATGTTGTAAATTGTTTATTTATTTCATTTTGTTGTGAACATTGAAAATTGAAGTTGAGATTCCCATATACAATTATGGTTGAACGATATTCCGATTTAAATTTTCAATAGTTGACTTCAGTCAGCAAATTAGATGGTGCTGTGGAAGACAAAGAAAAGGTAAAATAAGTTATAAAATATTTGGTAGTGGAAGCTGAAAAAGATTTGATATTTTGCTTAATGTCAGTTAAAGTCAACAATTCTCAGATGCTACATCAATTGAGCTTTTCCAAACTCATTTCGTGTTCTTATTTCTTCTCGGATTTCGACTCATCGTTCACAACAAGACTATAAACAATGGCCATTATCCAACATAAAATACTATCAACTTTAACTCAACAATGGACTTTAAATATGCTAATCAATATTAGATTTTGATCTCAGGTATATTAAATTTTCATCATAATTGGATCGATAATTTTTCTTTATTAACTAACATCAATAGCCAAAAGATAATTAGAGATCCTTTAATGTCTGAATATTACTTTTTTGTAGCATTTGGGTCCAGAAGCCACACTAAAAAATCCTCAAACTTAGATCTAGATATCACTTTGGTTGAATCATTTTATCAATTTTTGTTTACTCTTTATTTTAGGCGTTTACGGACCTGGTGTTAGAACGGTGGTCGAAATGCGACAGGATAGACTATTACTTCGCTGGTTTCCCTTTGAACGACAAGCCAAACATTTTTGAAGGGCTGCTTTGAAGGAAGCTCGAAAATTTTTGGACATAAATCCATAGACCAATGGATTTATACATGAGTTGAGGTAAGACAATAGGTGAGCTGCAGTTCGGAGTGGCTTAAGGAAACCATAGTTTAGTTGATGAAGTTTACCAAAGGCAGTCAAAACATTGATTATTAAGATAGGTGACCAGCATAATATAAAGAGTATTACAACAGCAACGAGCATTTTGATGACCTGCAAATGATATCGAGTCAACATTTTTAGTAAAAGTGACAGCGAGAGGGAGAGAAAATTCGAGATGTATTAATGAAATGGCATCAATTTCAACGCTTCATATCAATATATTATTCTGTTAGATTATTGGATGGTTTAGGTTGGGATGAAATTTTCATGGTTCAGTGAAATACTATGTAACACTAACAGAAATGTCAGATATACAGTTATACTCAATCTAATCTTTCTTTTTTACTTTTCTTTTCTTTTGATAGATTTACCTGCTTAACAACTGCAGTATCATCATCAGCTTTATTGGAGTACATTTCTTGGATTGAACTATTCTTCATGGAATGTTGTTTTGTTGAAAATGAATTTTCTGAGCGTAACATTTTCCGGTCATCTGACATCGGCTTGGAGTTTTTCAGCTCGATGTTCCTGTGAAAAATTAAGGAAAGAAACAAGAAAAAGACGGAGTTCCAATGAGTTAATTCAATTATTTAGTTAGAAACATCTAACAGCTTCAGAATGAAGACAATTTTCCCAACAAGATCGTGAAACTTGGTATTCGCTTTCAGATTTCAAAGATTCCATGGTTTTTTTGTTCCTTTTCATTCCACCCTGAAGATATTTCTATTTCACTCTTCCATTTTACCAACAGTCAACATTTGTTATCGAATCATTTCAACTTAAATTTAGTTACAACCAAAATTAATCATCTGAATGTACGGTTGAACAAAACTCGCCATAATCAGATGAATTGACTGTAATCTTTTTTAATTACAGTTTACTTTCCCTGTAAATTACCAGAAAAGAGTGAAACTTGTAACCAATTAAGCTGTTTAGCCTCAGGAGAAAGCAAAGTCAGACTTGAATGGTCATTAAAATACAGAGGATTAATGTGATTAAATTCAGTAATCAATTGCTATTAATATAATGTAACTTTTATTTTAACTGAAAGTGGAAAACATAATTTTACATTTCATGGGTAATTTTGGCCTCTTTTCAGCCTTACATTCAGAGAAAGCAGTTCAAATGAAAACAATAATTTAATGACGAGAGATTAAAATGACCATTGAAGGTTAACAAAGCAACTCTTTTAATGTTTTCAATTCAATTGCTTTTTCCACTGAAAAACAAAGAGAAGGATATTTTCATGATTGAAATAGCTTCAACACTTAACTCAAGTAGTTACCATTTTAAACAAGTCAAACAATTTATTGGTCAACTAAAAACTGTCAACAAAATGTTATCATAATCAAGATGATGACAGGTTACATTCAATATTAATGTTCAAACATTAAGGTCAACAAAAAATCTCCAATCTTGTTAAAATGAAACAATTACAAGACGTTAACCCAAAAACTGAACACATTTCACTGTCACTGAAATTATCAAATTTAATCAAAATTATTGATTTACAATGAAACATTGACTCTTGACTTTAAAAAAAAGTTGAACATTTTTCTGGTTCTCACCAAATGTTCATATTTCACCAAATTAACCGATGTAAATGGCGATATCAAACTGTTTCACAAATTGCTAATATTAATGTAACAATATCACATTGCAATTAAATAGCACAACTAAAAAACAATCAATTATCGACTAACAATTACAAACATTGTAAGTATCATTTTCCTGTTGAAAGTGGTTAACATGAAAATGAACTCGATAAAGGCTTGGTAATCATCTGTTTCACTTGGATGCTTCAAACATTATTATAATTATTAAATTGTAACCTCAACTATTATCGAGCAACTTTCAAATTAATTGCTTTCATCAACAAACTAACAAAAAAGCGAACAAAAACATCTGATAATCACTAGAATACTTGAGCAAAAATTAAACAATTAAGGTTAATTGGTTATTAAAAGAAGTGCAAAATAAAGATAAATTAGGTTAAAATGGGCAAAAAGGTTGATAACTTTATTGATCATAATTAATGAATTTTTCAATGAAACTGATTTCCACTGTTCCTAGCCATTGGTTAAGTCAATGTGAATTGAGATGAACCGCTGAAATGAATTGTTACAAGGTTTTAAGGTTAAACTTATATTTTGAAACTTTTTTTAGCATTTCATGTAAATTTGAAACTTAAAAAACATGAATATGTTTCATTGAAGTAAAATTAACAGGGGAAATTAGTTGCTCTATTTAAATGAAAATACAAGATGTTCAACTGTTGTTATCCCAAAGGATCAAATTAAACCATTTTTAGCCTCTTTTTCATCATTAAAGTTACTCAAGTTAGCGTTTCAAATCACAAACTGTTTCAATTAACATTGTTAAGTTGGTTAACATAAACCACAAAAAAGCTAATTAAATTTCATGAGCTTTGAGTATGAACCACTGAAACACTCAAAGATGTGAATGTAGAATCAATAAATTAAAGCTAATTCAATTCAATCAGAAAAACTTGATTTGTGTTTGTGCTTTTTTCAATCAATTAATTAACTATAAGAATAGCATCTGAATTTCAATTGGTGAGTTTAAGTAAGTTAAATACAAGCAAAAATAATCTTTTCATTGAACTTGTGTTCCTGAGTGTAAGGCTCAGCTAATAAGACATGGCCGCATTTAAGTCTAGAGTACATCATTAGTCTCGGAATTTTAGTTTGAAAAAGGTTATCGAAGAGATGAAAGTTTATTCTTGCTTGATTGGAGTTCAATTTCATTTCCTATTGCTTTTGTTAGGGATATAGTATTAATTATGGTTAGTAAGGGTCAGCTTAGCTAGCTTACTCATCACTTGGCTATCTTAGTCAATGGCTAGCTATCTGACGTCAGAGATAAAATAGAGTATAAAAAGTAGAATCAAAAGCACATTTAAATCAGTCTTATTTTACTTCTTAGTTTACACTTGTTATTAACAACTTCTTTTCTCATTTATTTGTCACCCTTCATTATTAACCCCACATTATTAACCCTCAGTATTTATTTCAAAACCTTAATAAAGTTAATTCACATTTACAAGTCCAATCGGTCCTCCCTGAGCGAGTCTTATTTATGGTTAATGTTTTTATGTCACCTTCCTCAACATAAAATGGTGGAGATGCCTCGTCTCTGACTTGGTTCTGTGATAAAAATTTAACTTTGTGCCCTTTCTAAGGTCATATTAAGGAATTTGAAACCGAGGCTGCCTCGTATCTATTCCTAACTCAACGTTCTCTGAACAAGGTTTAGTGAATAGGAGCGCTAATACGCGGCTGCCGCATAAAAAGCAATCCTTAAACCTTTGGTTTATTGTGCTTCAAATTCTTGAGAGAGTGAGAGAAAACAACAGCGGCTGCCGCTTAGTTTTCTCAACCGATCTCAAGAATACTGAGA